TCTGCTACTGCTCTGAACGCTTGTCTCACTACTTGATCAGCTCACACAGTCTTGCTTATCAGCAGTAATACAGCTGTCAAAAAGAAAGAAAGAAAGAAAGAAAGAAAGAAAAAAACACAGCTTCCACACAAACGTCAGACCCACAGATGTAAATGCAGCATTTTGAGTCAGGCTGAAATAGGCACAGGACACTTAATAATTCATGTGAAGGTTAACGCTGTGATTATTTCCTCCTCACTGCCGCGAGTCACAACTTCCCCCGGTCATCCACATGCTTCATGCAAACAGCTGTCCTCCTACTTAATCTACTTGTCTGGATGGTGCTTTCAGTTCTTGACCTGAATAAAGCTGGTGTCAAAGGTTTTTCTGCCAAACATCCGGTGTTTGATGTAAATCGCGAGGGGTCATTGCTTTTTAACGCCACACCCAATGAGGTCTCTAGAGAACGCCTAATTGAAAAAATAGCGAGGAGTGTGAGAAGTGCACAAGGCAACTCCTGGCAATCAATCTTGTCTTTGCAACAAAAAAGTAAAAGACTATTGATCAAGCAAACATGTCTGTCAGAGATTAAGGGAGGCGGCAGAACCGTGTTATCTTATCAGGAACTAATGGTAGCATCACAAGACTCCTACACGAATTTGAATTAATGACTGCCTCCTGATGCCGCTAAAGATGTTGAAATAAAGTATTGATCTGTCTCCATCCTTACCCTTTACAGTGTGTGTCTTAGTGCTGTTAATGGCCATTTTCCAAGTTGCCAAACAAAATTATGCAAATGAAAAGCAGAAAAGTGAGAGCACTAATGCATGTTATTCCCCTTTAAATGGAATTAGTCATGCGGGTCACATCACAAGGGGCTGGGACCTCTAGAGAAAAGGCATATTTAAAAGTGAATTCAACCTCTAAGCACATGTGCCAAGTCAAGACCCAGAGAGCTTCAGAAATGCAAGATTACTCGAAACAGTTTTTCCTTATCATCCTAATCATTTCTCTTAATGATCCTGATGACCTGTGAAAAACAGTGCTTGACTATAAATAAAACACTTTTTTAAATAATCAAACACTAAATGTTTAGAATAATCAGATCTAAATTGGGCTGGTAAAACGTCATCTCCGTTAGTGAACAAATAATGCAAAGACAAAAGTCTGTTTGAAGAACTGTCTTTTTCCTTTATGCATTGTCATGGCAGACATTTGCTTTTTATATATTTTTATAGGAAGATTGTCTTTTGATGGTGTGTTTTTCTGGTAGATAAACACAGATATCTAGGATATTGCCTTTACTTGATAGAAGTGAAGTGTCCATGGCTTAGCTATGCCTCTGGCAGGCACTGAGGTCTGCTAACCACAGAGTGTTTTATGTAGTCACTTCCAGAGGATCCTGGGCTTATTTACAGTCTCACAGAGGGAATGAAAGCTCACAGTCCACATTATGACTAAATACCGAATGTGAATAAAAATGCTGGCACATCTGGCACAACTGAGATGTGTTTGGCCTTATATTTGTCTGTCAAAGCCAATTACACTCCAATCCCTGGGCCTGTTTTGTGTTTGATGAGATACAAGGGAATAAATGACACTGACTTTCAAGTTATATTTGTGTCGAATTATTTTGTAGGGACATTTAAATACATTAATGGGGCTTTTGGTTCTCATGGTCACTTCTAAGATGATCATAAATTCTATGAAGAAAAATCGAGCTTTCCTCTTATTCAAGTACAAGGCCCAGCTGTGAAGGAAAATGTTCTTTTTTTGTCTCTTTATTGAGAAATAAAAGTGGTTCTTACAGCTGGAAGATGTGGACGAATGATGTCCTCCCTGAGAGAACAGGCTGACAGTTTTATCATGTTGTTCAAAAGCTCCATCTATTGGACGTCTCTGTGGTCAATTATTGCTTTGACATTAATGGCAGTGCGGCAATTTCACACACACACACACACACACACACATTTTCACTGTCCAAAATTTTAGTGGGTTGGTTTGGAGCAGACATGTGCCCATCAGAGCCAAAAGAAATGAATTATAATTAACTGACTACATATTTTCACAATTAAAATTCTACATTTTTAAGCCAAATTTGAAGAAATATATTTTGAATTTAAACACCACAGGGATGGAAACAACAAAGCTTAATATTTAAAGGTATTTGGCAATAAACCAATAACTACTGAGCCTAAAATGTGAATATTTTTCAGTATATTTAATTTCATTGGTGTTCAGAAAGTGAAAACCTTTCTGAGAAATGCTTTAGATACATTTCTAACAAAATTTTGCATTTGTAACCAAATAACTGTAGGTACCACAGGTAGTTCTGTTTTTCACTGCATCCCCTGACACAAACAAAACGCATCTCACAGTAACGTCATGTGAGAATCGCGTTTGTGTTTATACCTGACAGGTGTTCACTCACACTTTGTCTGGAATGAGCACACAGAGGATCCTACACGGAAAACGCAAAAGAAGCCACAGCCAATCAAAAAGTGTCATGGGGATGGGTGCTAAGCAGGATGAGGAACATTTCAAATAACTTTATTTACCATAAGAAAACAAATAATACAGCACTTTAAAAAGAACTGTATGTTCAACCGTATGTATAGCCAAGAATACATCATGCATTTTGCCCGTGTTTACAAGATGCATCTCTATTTTGGTTGGAACTAGAGAGTTTTCATTGTTAAGGTGGATTTCAGTGAAGCCTTTACATGTGCAGTCCAAAGAAAATTGACTAGCAGTACAAAACTACATTCAGGTCAGGGTTACGTGCATAAAGCAAGAATGATATGTGGGCAGTGTAGACAGCTGGACTGATTAAATAGGAGTGTACTGGGTCTGAGAAATGCAGCTGAAACACCTTCGGTGTAGACATGGCATCAGACTAGTGGGAGGAAGATATAACCATATCAGTAAAGTTTACAAGAAATGTTTAGTCCTCACTTTAAATATATTTGAGGCAACTACCAGTGGCTCCTGTATTGGAAGCAGGGTATATCCTTGGCCAATAAGTTTGTAATTTCATTGTTTTCAAGCATGTCCTTTTCTCCTATTTACAAGCAAGAGTAATTTATAGTTTATAGTAGTCAAAAACAATGGAAAATTTAAAAGCTCCTGAAATATTTTGAATGTGTTTGTTTTGGTTGAAAGACAACTTCATTGTATATCAGAGCACAGCTATCCTTAATCAACAGCCTCCAACTGTGAGGCCAGTCTCCTGGTACAAGGTAGCAGACATATGATCTTTGTTAACCAACATGCACTGTAGCTATGCACTGTACCACATGGTGGTTTGAACCTCACCTTTTACCTACAAGAAGCAGCTAACGGCTGAACTGCAGCATCAGACAGGAAACCTGCTAAGCACAATCCAACTATTCCCTGCAGAGGAGACTAATTAGCTAAACACCATACAGTTGTGTGATAATCCTGTTTTGTTGGGGAAACAAAAAATTACAACTCTAGTTCAGACAATGACTGTACTGACAAGCATTACATTTAGATTAATTGAGATCAGCTTAGTTGAAGAAAAGCAGAAATAAACTAAACATGATGATATGTAAAATGTACAGTTTTTAAATTAAAGGCGAAACTATACAGTAAGTCAAAAGAGAGAAATGGATTCAGCCTTCAATTTCTATGGCAATGAATGACAATCTGAAATTGCCCTCCACGTGTCTATCAATTATCAGAATGTAATGTGAGAAAACAAATTAAAACTGCAGCAGGCAGTTATCAGTGTCATGAATTGTATTGATTGGTTTACATGTATTTTTACCTCCACCAAGGCTTGTTGGTTTCTTTGGTGACAGAACTGAGCTAATCCATATCTTAATTTCTATAGAGGGATATTTTTAAAGACTATTCACCACTGTGAATGCTGAAAAGGCTGTTAACTGTATGTTAGCCCTCTTGTGGACTAGGTGCACTGCTGAGCACTCTGAGCACTTAAATATGAATACAAATTTATAACAGTGACCTGAAAATACGTCACGAGGTCGCAGGCATTAAGCAGAAGACACATTGATTCCACAGACTGCGTATGCGTTCAAAGTTATACTTTATTCTTGGCTTGAAACTGAGTTGCCCCTTGGTGGAGGAGTGCTGTCTAGTTTACTAATGTTCTGGCAAGAAAAAACACTGATTAATTATTTAAAGTACAGTAAACACATGCTCTTAAGAGATGGCAGAATGGGTATTTTGTATTTTTGTATTTATTTATTTATTCATTTTTGATAGGACTGAGTGAAAAAAAAAATCTAGCTATGCACTGTGATTCAGTCCCAAACATGCAACCTCAAGATACGCCTGTACAGTTAGATTTGACATACACGTTCCCACACCAACAGCTCAACTTTTAGACCTGTGCGTGTGTGTAATTTCTATTTGACAGGTATTCATGTGTTGATAACAAATAATGAAGACTCAGTGCAACAGAGGCTGCTGCTACCTCAGCAGTAACACAGGCAGGTATCTGTGGTCAACAGAGAACCCCGCTCTGTGGAGCCGGCAGGGGAAATGTCAAATTTGCATAAACACTACAAAATATTGTATTTTTTTGTTTTTCACAATGTTTAATATTTGAAGGTGTGGAATTATGGGGCTGCAGACAACGGGCTGATATTTGCTCTTTTTTCCTTGTGTAAACAGCAGAGATCTTGGTTCAGTAAGGGGAAATTTTGGATTGAACTGTTACAATTTAATGAGAAAATGCACTGAAGGGTGCTTATGTGAATTAAATTACTAATGTCTGTGTTCACAAAGCCTGCATTCTCATTTGATTTCTAGTTTGCCCACTTTAACCTATTAAAAGATTTACATTTGGGTCTCACAATCCTGTATCCCCTCTATTACAGTACATGCACCTTCATTCATCGCGAATGTAGTATAATGTAATATTTTCATTAAATCCAACATTATAGCTTTGCATG